GGGGGACCCAGACAGGACCGCAGGGCCCAAGCTCCCCCGGTCCCACCGGCGGCGGAGGACCGGGAGAGGGCGGGGTGGGCCAGTGGGGCGGGCGGGGAGCTCGGCGAACGCAAGGATATTGCCGCAGACAGGAGTCCACCTCGCCCTCGTCGGGCCCGGCCTGGCCGTCGCCCCCGTCTTCCTCGTCCACAAACTTGTTCTCGTCGTACTCATCCACGTCCACCTTCCGGAACCGGGCCGACGACACCGTGTTCTTCGACATCCCGGCGCCGGAGGAGCGGCAAAGGCCTCTTCTCGGCGCTGCCTTCGGCCTCTGCAAGCCCAGCCCGGCAGAAGCCCGCCGCCCGGCACCCGCTTCACTTCCCTCTTCCGCTCTGGGGCGTCGCCGGCCTCCGCGGCTCCAGCGGTTCTGGGCCTGCGCGCCGCCCCGCTTCTTCCTCCTCAGGTTCGCGCTCGCCTGGAGCCTCCCACGCTGCCCCCGCTCTTCCCCCGAGGGCGCGCGCGAGGGAGGGAGCGCGCGGGACGCAGTGCGCAGGCGCGGAGTCTGCGCAGGAAAGGGGCGGGGCCGGGCGAAGGAGGCGGGGGCGGGGGGTGGGAAGAAAGCGGGACCGCGGGCAGAGGCCGGAGGCGATTGGCCGCCCAAGTGCATCACGTGAGCCCCGGGGTTCCCATAGAAACGCTTTTCTGCGGTCCAGCCTAGGGGGTCTGAGGTTGGCTGCCATGGGCGCCTGCGGCGGGTGGCCTTGGCTTTTGCTGCCGCCGTCCACGACCTGTCATTGGGGTCCTGCGTAAGGTCCGGTCGGCCGGGACTTGGCTGCGGGTTGGGATGGACTGGCTGCCCGACCGAGTCCCCTGCAGTTGGCAGGAGTATGGGGCGGAGTGATGCACACCCGGGAGCCCAGCCTCGTTCTAATTGCCCGAGACGTTGCTTCGGACTGCGCGCTGCCGGGGGCTGTGTTCCCGAGCCGGGAGCCGGATTCCCGGGGTTGGAACGACGCTACGCGGCCAGCGGGAGGTCCCCAAGGACGGAGCCGAAAGGTCATTTCTTATCTGCCAGCGTTGTGTGACAGCATCGCGACGGGACCTGCAGAGCCTGAACTCGGTATCAATACATTGGGAGGGAGGGGAAGGTGTCCGGGTAGGGGCTGCAGTCGGGTGGCGAAACTGGGCTGAACTTGTAGAATTTGGGATAGGATCAGTCATTGACATCTTAAAATAAGTGACTGTTGGAGCAAGAATGCTAGAAAAGGGTGGGGAGTGGGTTAGACTCGCCAGTGGTGAGGGGAAAAAAATTTGTTAAAGATTAGTAGAAACCAGACTTTAAGATTCATATTTATGATTTAAGATTTATATGATCTTGCTAGGCCATATTTTTATTATGTTCAGCACCCATTTCTTGGATGTGGGAAGTAAAGGCAGTAAGATTAAGGAAATGGTCGTTGTGCTCTGAGTTTGACACTGAAGTGCAAATATTTGCAGAATTAAATTAATTTGGACATTGGCTGGACACTGCTAGGTGTGGTGCAGTTTAGATGGACCTCTAGCAGAAGGCCTGCTGTTGCCCTGTTGAGTACCTCAATCCTTGGTTTCCATGCTGTATTGAAAGGACCACTGGATTTAGAATCAGAAAACTCGGATTTAAGTCTTGACTCTTGAACTCCTAGTCTGTTTGATTGAGGCATGTCACATAAAATTCTGAGTCTCAGGTGTCTTATCATGAAAAAGGGCTAATAATACTTCACAAGATTGTTCTTAGGATTAAGTTCCTGAGAGTGTTTTCAAGCTCTTGAATTCTGCGTAAATGTAAAATACATGTTACTTGTACCATTGGTTTTGACACTAGTCTCATAAATTACTTAACATATTTTATCTTGTTCCTGGAAGAGATAGAAGGATTCTGAAGGGCAGAGACAGTCTTATATTTATTTGGGATCTTCTTCCATCTGACATAAAGTTAAGCATGCAGAAGGTACTCAATACTTGATGAATGAATGAAATTTGAGACGGCACAGTCTGAGAGTCACACTGAGAATAATGAATCAAAAGAGGAAGGGAAATCTCAAAATCAAACCTTTGCTGACTATATACAGTACATATAAATACATATGTTTAGTCATTCCTTTAAGTTTGAAAAAATACATACATATGTGTTATATATATCTATGCAGTGTATACATGTACATATATAAAAGAGAGAGAGAGAGAGAGACAGACAGATACAGAGAGAGAGAGAGACTTTAAGAACGGAATGCATCTTTTTTTCTTGGGAAGAAACAATGTAGAATTTTTTTTCCCAACTAAATCACACGTCTATAAGATATATCATTTAGGTGATAGCAGTAACATTGCTTTAAATTAGCATTTAAGTTTCAAATTATGAACAGACACACTGGCAAAAACTATCCTAGGACTGTCTTAAGATAGCAAAGGAAAATTTTTTTTACCTGTTGGTAATATTTATTTTAAAAGGCCCTATACCAAAGTATAAAATCATTTCTGTGTTGAATGGCATTATATAACTTAGAATAAAGATTTGTTTTATTTTATTTTCAGTTTCAATCTTTGCTAACTTTAGTGGATGCTAATCAGTATACTTCATTAGATGTTAATGTTGATTGTACTTTTTGTCCTTTTAAATCAAGATTTTCTTTGAAGAGAAAATTGAACATTAGAAGCACTACTGAGAGCAAATAGAAACAAGAATTCAAGAGCCAATACATCCTTTATCTTGCATTTCTGTTCTTTTATATTGTCTTCTTTAGGAAATGTTTTTGTTTTCTTATTTTAGAACTGGGGAAAAAATCCAGGGCAGAAGTCAACTTAGGGAATAGTGAGAAGAATTTAAATAATTTGTTGCTCAAGAGTATAATTATTTCAATTGTTCAAAATTTTGCTCTAAGCATTAAGTGTGTTAAATGTAATTACCAGCCAGATAATGCATATTACATTTGAGATGTCAAAAATGTCTTTTTTCAGTGTAGTCTTTTTTATTGTCTCACAAAGATCTAAATGCCTAGAATAAAATAGGAACTCAATATGTTTCTATTCAATTCATTAATGATCTGACAGGCTAATTTTGGGCTAATATTTAGAGATTATTTGTTAATGGACATATAAAAATCACCTCTCTACCCTATCAATTGGCTAAATCTTTATAAGGATTTAGGGAAATGTTTTTGTGGATGTGAAGAAATCTGTCCTTAATTATCTTTTAATTAGAAAATACACATTATTGCACTTCCTTGAAAATTCTAAATTTTTAACATTAGCCATGATGCTTAATTCATCTTAGGTAATATTATTCTGTTTATTTTAATTTTTCAAATGAGTGCTTACCCCGATATAAAAAATCTATAAGATTTTAAGACATTTTATTGATTATTTATTTATTTAGTATTGGTTCATTATTAAAGCAATATTGAATCTGAATTTTCTCAAGGTTAATGCTGTGTATGTAGGCCCTTCTTATTTCTGTGATAATGCAAAAAGCAAAAATTATTTTTGATAGAAGGGACTTTAATAAAATTATTAAATTTCTGAATTTAATAGATCATTTCAGATATTTTAAACCAAGCATTCTACCTACTATGTAATTTTTTCCCACAAATTTGCCACTAAATACTTAAAAAAATACCAAGACATTGAATTCCGCAGCATGGTACTATTGTTTTTACTATTTGAAGTGGAAGTGAACTTGGTGTTAAACAAATATGTAAAATGTGTATTATGAATATAAATGAGTTTTATTTTTTATTTTATTTTATTTTTTTTGAGTTGGAGTCTCACTCAGTCACTCAGACTGGAGTGCAGTAGCCGCTCCTGGCCACCACAACCTCGACCTGCTGGGCTCCGGCAATCCTTCCACTTCAGCCTTCCAAGTAGCCGGAATTAGACACGTGCTACCACGAACGACTGATTTTTTTTTTTTTTTTAAATTGTAGAGATGAGGTCTCGCCAAGTTGCCCAGGTGGGTCTCGAACCCACGGGCTGAGGCAATCCACTCACCTCAGCCTCCCAAATGTGGGATTACAGGCTGAGCCACCAAGCCCGGCTATAAATGAGTTTTAGTAATGATGGTTTAATACCACTATTCTCTACCAATATAATTACTATATTATACAAAAATTTTAACATGTTGTCTGTAGTCTATCTTATGATTTAATGTTCCTACTAAAATCTGAATCAATTGGTTCTCTGTTGAAACCACCCTTAAAACTTCAAGTTTTTTTCTTTGTGATCAGTTTTAGCTTTACATGATTTTATGATTACACACAAAAGTAGAGTAGATAGGGTGAACTATTTTACCATGGAATCTGACAACCAAAAAAAAAAAAAAAATCTCCAAATATGTTGACTTTATTCAGAAATTGGAAAATTGGATTAAAACCTGAGATGCACAGCTATGTCAAGCCACATATGCATCTGAAGAGGGGAGGGTAAAGAGAAACTTTTATTGGCAAAAGGAGAAGTTCACATAAACTGTTTAGAAACAGAGTTCATAGGTTTCAGAGACTCCAAGCTAGAATTGTCATCAGTTTGGTGGTGGAGATGCTGTTACTGGGCAGGTGTTTTTTCGAGAGCTTCTTGCCTGAAGTGCCGCAGTCCTAAGGAATTTCTAATGGGATTATTTTGGAAAGTCTTTGAGACAGTCTTTATCTCAGCCTTGAAAGCATGAGCCCTCCTCCTTCACGCTTTCCCCATTTTAGTTATTTGGGCCTGACAAAAAGTGATTTCGTTCTGGTATCCAACTTTCACAAATCTTTAACTAACATATTGGTACTTCAAATATTTAAAAAATTATACATCTATACTCTTGTCTCAGGAGGAAACTTTTAGTGCCAAATGAAAGGATATCTTTTTAAACATTGCGAATGAGACTTTTTTCCATTTGATTGTTAAATGACTTATAACGGGAAGCTATGGATTTTACAACATATTTATTCTATATTCTTTCTTTTCATTGGGATCACTGGTATCAGTTGTGTTAGGGTTGCATCTCTTGTCATACTATACAATAATATTTGAGGTAATGATAATTTACCTTTTTTCCAATATTTTTGTCATTTATTTTTCTTATCTTATTGCTTTAGCTAAAATCTTGAAGAGTATTGAAAAATTTGGTGATATTAGGTGTTCCTGCTTTCTTCCTGTTTTTAATGAAAATGTCTTTAGTGTTTCACCAGTTGATATTTACTTTAGCTTTGCAATCTCTTGAAATGACTGCTGAAGTTGTTAAATGTTTCTTTTTTAATCTAATGATATAAATCATATAGTTTCTGATTTTTCAGTTTGAGTCGAATGAATCTATTTATGTATTTTTTTTGCACTGAAACATTCTTACATTTCTAGAATAAACTCTTTTTTGTTTTTTTTTGAGTTGGGGTCTCACTCAGTCACCCAGGCTGGCTGGAGTGCAGTGGTACGTTCACAGCCACCGCAGCCTCGACTTTCTGGGCTCAGGTGATACTTCCGCCTCAGCTTTCCAAATAGCTGGAACTAGAATAAAGTCTTATTAGGAGATGAAATGTTATTATCTTAATTACTGACTGGATTTGGTTAGTTTGTGTTTTGTTTACATGGTTTCAGAATGTATATATATATATTTTTTGAGTTGGAGTCTCACTCTGTCACCCAGACTGGAGTGCAGTGGCCGCTCCCGGCCACTGCACCCTCGACCTGCTGGGCTCTGGCGATCCTTCCGCCTCAGCCTTCCAAGTAGCTGGAACTACAGGCGCATGCTACCACGCCTGGCTAATTTTTGATTTATTGTAGAGATGAGGTCTCGCTGCCCAGGTGGGTCTCGAACCCGCGGGCTTAGGCGATCCACTCACCTCAGCCTCCCAAAGGAGTGGGATTACAGGCTGAGCCACCGAGCCCAGCCAGAATGTATATTTTTAAGGAAGATTTATCCCTATTATTTCTTAGTGCTATTTTATCTAGTTTTGATATTAAGGTTAGCCTACCTTTGTAGATGAATTTAGAAGAGTTCTACCTTTTTTCTATGGTTTGGAATAGTTTGAATAGTGGAAATTAAACAGGCTATTGGTTCTTTAAAAGTCATAGAATGTGCTCCAAAATTATCTAGGCTTATTGGTGTTTTTA